AGGTAGATGTACAGCACATGCAAATGAAAAAATGTTCCATACAATACTGTCTTCTTGAACTTTTCTTACCGTTTAGGCCGTTTAAAAAGACAGCAAACATCCGATAAACTACGATTTCTGCACGGATCTTACATGAGAGCCAAACAAAATGGCGGGTTGCTCCTAAGAGAAAAATAGGGGCGGCAGCTAAAGAATTGCTTAAGCAAACCACTGACTGCACAGCGCTGCAGTCACAGTTTGATTGAACATCGAACCATGGAACCATTGAATGAAAAATCTCAAATTGCTCAAGAATATGGTATGCTGCCGGCTGATGCCCGGCAGCAATGACTGTGAAATTCTGCTTGTCCCACCACACAACAAAATCGGCACTGTTCGGTTGCCTGTGAATTCAAGGGTTCTTGTGGCTGGCAGTTCAAACTGCATGGGAGTTTCGTCCATGTTTAAGATGTGGCTTAACTCGTAGTTATGACGTCACCGGGCCCTCAGCACCAACCGATCAAATTTGACAACGCTTATCTTCCATGTCTGCTGGAAGACGCTGTGCCAAAGTTGTTTTTGCTCGCATTGAAACAGCTTGGAAACGTTTCCAATTGTTGTACCATCCAACAGATGCCTTGAACTCTGAAGTGGCGCTGAGTTCCTTTGCCTTTAATCATCATCATGCTATTAACTGAAAGTCCTGCAAAAAATAAAACAGTACGGAGTTAAAGGACAAGCTATTTACGTGCACGTGTTTCGTGTTAACAGTGATCATGTGGACTGTTAATCAATTAGGGCAAATTGAAAACAAAATATTTTTTATATCGTACCTTGACTTCTTTGATCGCTAAACCAGTCTGCTAAGTGTTGATCTAGATTTCCATCTTTTGGTCTGTACTGACCCATGGATACACGTATGGCAGTCATCTTTAGCTTGCCAGTAAACAGCACATGCTGTTGGTTTTGCCATTTGCGTACCATTGACTCGGATATTCTATACTCGCGTGCAATTTTCTGATTGTTGTTAACTGCTTCAGCCTCTGCTACTATTTTCAATTTAAAGTTGAGATCGTAGGAATGGCGACAAGTACTGGGCATGATTTTTCTTGGAACTTAGGAAAGCTTTCTAACACTGTGAATAAAGTTTTACAACTAAGAGTTTGACTAGGTGAGACACGCTTATAAAGCTTAAAACCGATCAATTAGTATTCATAAGTTTAGAAAGTAACACTGTTTCCTAGGAAGGAAGACTTCATTTATCAATATTTATTTTAACGGTGTGATTTTTTTGCTTTGTTTTCTGTAAATGTGTGACTTTTTTCACTGTGTTGAAAAAAGGTGACATGAATGTAATTAGGAACTTTGAAAACGCTGTTGTTTTGTAAGTGAAGATTGCAGAAAAGCGCAAAGTTGGGGTTGCGTCTTATAACCAAGTATTTATGTGAAATTTTCATTTTGTTAACTTAAAAGGATCAAGTTAAAAAATTCAGGGTGCATCTTATAACCAAGTGCGCCTTATAAGTGGAAGAATACGGTATGTTTAAAATCACGTTTGCGCCATCACCAGAAACATATAACCCTAAAGCGTCTAACTTCCCCTTGTCTGTGGGTGCCAGAGACTTTTCATGACTTTTCATTTGACCTGCGTGAAAAGCCTCTGGACCAGAGCGGAAATTCGGCTGCATTTTCTCCAAACTCCTCCTCGCCGTCAGCTGTGGTCTTTCTTAAACCAAACGTAGCAACAGCTGGGCTTGGTCCATTTCCAAAGAGGTGAACATTCATTTGGTACTCCATTATCCGTTTGCCAGGTGTATTGTCTTTGTACTAGAGAAAATGTAGGAAGTCTCTGTGCTCTGGATCAACTTGAAAGGAATGAAACATCTTTTCGATGTCACACACGACAGCTATTATCTCCCTCCAAAAGCGAAATAGAACTCCTAACAGGCTGTTCATGAGAGCTGGACCCGATAATAGCTCTCCGTTCAGCGACACACCTTGGTATTCGGCTGAAGAGTCAAAGACCACTCTGATTTGAGTTGGTTTCTTCGGGTGGTAAACTCCAAAGTGTGGAAGCTACCACACCCGACCTGACTGGGGCTTAGTAATTTCTTCTATTGGCACCGGGGAGGCATAGCCTTTTTCGATGATCTTTCCCATGAACTCCACGTAGTCCGTAGTCGCGGTGACGAGATCGATTGCTTCTTTGGTAGTGGGCCGTGATGCCAAGCGGTCGTCAACATAGAAGTTACGGTGCACAGTTCGGCTGCATTTCCCCAAACTCCTCCTTGCCATCAGCTGCGGTCTTTCTTAAACCAAACATAGCAACAGCTGGGCTTGGTCCATTTCCAAAGAGGTGAACATTCATTTGGTACTCCATTATCTGTTTGCTGGGTGTATTGTCTTCGTACCAGAGAAAATGTAGGAAGTCTCTGTGCTCTGGATCATTGTGAAAGGAATGAAACATCTGTTCGAAGTCACACATGACAGCTGTTGTCTCCCTCCAAAAGCGAAATAGAACTCATAACAGTCTGTTCATGAGAGCTGAACCCGATAATAGCTCTCCGTTCAGCGACACACCTTGGAATTCGGTTGAAGAGTTAGGGCGGCATTTAGGCAGATTTTGACGCGCGAGTCTGGTGACAATTTGCTGGTTTACCAATTTCAATGTCTCAATTAGCTGGCTTCCGGTGACGTCTATTAAGGGGTTGATGTGATAACTGGCTCTCTATTAAAGGGAGTATCTTGTTGCGCTTTCTTATTTGGCAGATCTTGATTGAAAGATTGACTTTTGGGTACTGCTGAAGGCGATAAAGGCTTTGATTGTTCTAGGGTATTTGACGATTCTTGTGTACGTTCGGGGCGTGATCGATAATCCGTGGGTGGGGGGTTAAGCGTGGGAGAGGAATGTACCCATTGTGAAGTGCGCTCTTTGTTTTTTATTCTGGGAGCTTCAAGTGATGGCAATTCGGAATCTCACTCCAACTCCTGTTCTAATAGGGCTTCCTCGAATACTTTTAGCTTCGCATTTGCCTCAGCAGCTTTTTTATCTGCTTCTAGTATCTAGTAAGAAGGAAAACGACTGAATTTACAAGCGTGACTTACGTCTGATCTTGACTCCGGGGGTTAAAAGAACTCCAAATCTCCTACAGTAGTATTTACTCCGAAAGTTCTCCAAAAGCTCGTTACACTGTGATGGAGTTCTTACAACTGAATAAACGTGCTTAGGAAAAGAATAATCTAATGCATACCTTCTGACGTAAAGGAAATAAAACTGAATAAAGCTTTGTACGCGTAGCCAAAAAAACGGATATACCATGATCATGTAATAAAATAAACAATGCTACAATCACGAAAGAAAAAACAGTCCTTGAATGTAACTCATTAAAATGTCATTTTTCGCGGATGACGTAACATGCAGTATCATTAGATATAGGTTGGAATCCGGTCCCACACAAAGTCTTGTTTTCAAGGGCAACCCCCTCCAATGTCAGGTCCTGAATGGTCCTCAACTCATAATCTGAACCCACTACTAACCAGGAATTCAATTCGTGCCCATGGCTACCAAATTTAGCTTTGATTTTTTTCTTCTTTAGATGATGTTTTAGCAATTGTCTGCATATTTTTCTTTTATATTTTTCTGTAGTTTTTGTCAAAAATACTAATATTAAAGAAGCACGTTTACAGGGATTTTATTGCTTTGTTCTAAAATATCAAAGTAACACAAGCAACTTGTTCATTACAAATTTAAATTAGTGTTTTATTCTACTTTGTTCAAAAATTCAATATTCAAATAAAAATGATTGTAACCATCTGTCTATTTTTTTTGTTGTTGGATTGTTTTCCCAGTCTTTACAGAGTGGTGGACAGTGTCTCTACCCATGTTCAATGTAAACTTTTTAAATAAGATAAAACCTTAACGGATGGGGTACATCACAACAAGTTCCTTGACACCATGGGCCAATCATTAAACAAATTTAGATTTGAGCTACATCAAAGTTCAATATTTCTGCCATTTGTTGTGTTCTGGCCAATGGGTACCGTGTCTTATGCTCTACTTTGATATAAACTGTTACGGTCCAATACAAAGTTCATGGTATGCTACAAATTCTCTGAACCATGGGCCAATCATTTAGCAGAAATCTTGACTTAAGGTGTGTCAAAGTACAAAATTAGTATTGCAACTCTAGCTTAGAATAATAATCATTAATGGGTTGGGTGGATAAGTTAAAGAAATAACCTTGTATCACAATTTACTGCTGCAGAAGAATGAATTCTTTTTTGTGGGTGTTGATCCATTCATTAAGTTGACCAAAGTCAAGTTCACCCAAAATGTTTCTACTGAAATTTGATATTTTCTGGTACTTTCGCTCTGGTGTGAAGATGAACCTATCACCTCTTTCATGTATTTCTTTGACAAGGAGCAAGAAATCTCTGTCATCGTTGGCACTAATATGATGTCCACTGGGTTGATCAAGTCCCAGCTCAGTATCCATATTTCTTAAAATTTCTTCTCGTGCTGATATTGCCTCACTGCATCGCTGCATTGATTTCTGTGTGACATTGACTCCAAGGCATTTTATCATCTCTTTCAAAAGATTGTTCAAGTGTTTCAGTATCAGATCCAAGGAGATATTGTGCCCCTTTCCTCGTTTACTATTAACTGTTCTATTCCATTTAAGCAAATGACAAAGTCTTTTGGATGAAAGGCATGTTGAAAAGAAGAATGGCTGCAATGCAGCAAATGCATATTTAGTGTGCTTGTAACCGCGGAAAATTAGAATTAAAAATTTCCAGCACCTTAAAATCCGTTCCCCATCCCACTCTTTAACTGCATCATCAAAATTAAACACGGTCAAGCCAAAATTCAAGCGTGCAGTGGGATAATTGTACCTGTCATCTATTTTTTGTTCTGCTGGTGTGGTTTGTTCTTCTTATGTGGATTCTGCTGTGTTGGAGGAGTTGCTGGATTCTCCCACAGGAGAGGTGTTAACAGAATGCACTCTGGCTTCATGGGTATCTCATGCCTTCTGATATCTGTACTCCTTGCCACAAGCACTACAGTGGTACACTTTTGGCCTGTTCATTTCTATTATTTCATCTCTAAGTGACTGGTGGAATTGCTCTTGATCATCCATGACATATTTTTTCAAGATTGCCTTTACTTGCTCATGAGGCCAAAGTCGTCTGGTACTTCTTGTTCCTTGCAGGATGGACGCAGGAATGAACTGATCAACAGGATCCTCTAAGGTCGTCATTCCGAAATGCTTCATTGTTGCGGTTACAATAAAGGCATCCGTCTCAAGCTTAACGTAGTTTTTGCAGTAATTAAAATTATCAAGTACATTGGATGTTTTGGCATTGAGTTGATTAGTAACATTCATGTTGCTGCACATGGTTCCTACATCACAGACAGAGGAGGAATTAACCCATTCGCCCCTGAACCGCCTGTAACCGCCCGTGCGGATCCATGTCGTTTCTACCCTTTGTGCCGTCATCAGTTTTAATGGTCAAGGACAACTCTGTCCACTTACTTGTGCAGAGTGAAGAGATTTTTCAAACCATACCAGAATGAGCACAATTCAGTGAAGGACACCAGAAAAAGAAGCAAAAAACCATGTGACATGGACCTGAAAATCTCCATGAAAATCTTGTTCCATTGCTCACCTACCTTCCCTTTCACCTAATCCTAAGCTCCTAAAAGCTTTCCTAGAAACTCTTCCCACCAAAACGAAGCCTACTAGATGCCCAGCAAGAAAAAAAAAATGAGGCAAGAAATGCGAAAAAAGAGGGGAGGAGAGAAAGCGAAAAGAAAAAGTCAAGACTGCTGTGTCACTTTCAAACCCAAAAACTATCTCGAAAGTTTTCTTTCTGCGCATGCCCGAACTTCGCAAGCTGATATTTTGCATCTGGATCAGAAGGCCGCGAAGTGTACAACCTGTAAACCAGTTTGTGGTAAGTTTTACCTCTTTATAGCACGACAGTGACCAGAAAACCACTCGACTAGCTTCAAAACACGTTTTTCGGCGAAATGTCGAGGAGCAAATGGGTTAAAGAACACATCGTACAGGACTTGTTGATAAAGATTGAATTACAATTTATAATTGTTCAAGGCCAACAAATGTATTATTTATTACTGTCTGTTCAATTTATTACAACTTGTCTCTTTCCAAACTCCTGACAATCGCTTCCTCCAGCAAATTTTATAAAATGATTCATACTGTAGTATTAAAATTTCTTTTTTTTTTCACGAATAGTAACCTTGCTTACAAGGCTGTTCTGTAAGGATGTTACAGGGGGCCCTGACCAATGAAATCTGACGTTTCCTGCCCCTAACAGCCCTGGCTTAATTTTGTTCCTCTAAACACTGACCTGATTCCCTTGTCTGGCATTGCAAGCACGTTCCTCAGTCAGCTGGTCTCCCCCAAAAAATAATCTTTGAAGGATTTCAACCTGTTCATTTCCAGAGTCATCAGTGGTCTTCAGAAGTGGTAAATATTTCTCATGAAGCTCAGTCAGGATCTCAATCATGTCATCATTACGCTTTTTGTTTTTGAACATCAGACCTAATGGTACCTACAAGAAAGTCAAAAACGAGAGAATAATTCACTTAACTGCAGGTTACATTCAGTGGATACTTGTATTCTGCGCTCTCTAAATCAGTGACTTCTCGTGTCAATTCTTCTTTACATTGCTTCCTCTGTACTCGTGCTCTGAAACTTCTTATGTAACGTGTTCACAGAGCAATTGCTCGTTTCGCGCGATACCAGTCAGAGAAGTACTTCACTCTTTCACAAAGGCTTGTTTTCTCTGAGTCTACTCTGACGATTTCTGTGGTTGCCATGGTAACATGTTTCTTGACTTCAGGGTCGTTATTCTGGAGACCAAAGGTGCCTTCACTGTGATCCTGGTTTATTGGCCACTGGTCTTCAGTTTTCCAAAGAAAGGCAGGTCCGTTGATCCAACGAGAATGTAACAACTCTTGAGACTTTATACCTCGCGAAGCCTCATCTGCAGGGTTCTGTTTTGATTCGACGTGGTTCATCTGAGATGCTCTTTTGAATTTCTTGAACTCTGTTAGCCACGAATACATGAAATCGCCTACTTTCATTGCTTATGTATCCAAGGACCACTTTGCTATCTGGCCAAAAGTACTCTTGGTCAATGTGATAACTCGATCCCCGACGCAACTGCTGGCTAATCCTCACAGAACAAACAGCGGCGGTGAGTTCCAGTCTCGGTACGGTTACAGGTTTGAGGGGGGCAACTCTCGATTTTCCCATGACTAAGGTGCAGTGGATCCTTTGCTGCTCATCAATCATTCTCACGTAACTACACTTACCGTAGCCTTTTACGCTTGCGTCTGAGAAGTGGTGGAGTTCAGTGCGCACAACAGGACCAAACTTTTCGGGTATGTAACATCTCGAAATTGAAATTTGCTGCAAATTTAATGGGTCTGCTCTCCACTTCTCCCACTTGATCTTTATATCATAGGGTATCGGGTCATCCCAACTTACATCAAGGCAGCATAACTCCTGAAGTATTGACTTCCTGTCTTACAAGGGCGGAGCAGCGAAGCCAAGTGGGTCAAAAATGGAACTTATTGTAGAAAGTATTCCTCTTCTAGTGCACAGCTTGTCCTGTAAGACGATGTTAAACTAAAAGCAGTCAGACTCAATACACCACTGCACACCAAGAGCAAGTTCTAAGGGAAGCAAATGAAGGTCCAAAGCGAGCTCTTTAATGCCATCTGCTTTATCTGACTCTAGTATTCTTCTGATGACATCTTCACTATTCGACACGAATTTATGAAGGTTGAAACCTCCACTCTGGCACCTTTGCTTCACATCTGAAATGATTGTACAGCTTCATCGATTGAGGGAACAGACTTGAGACCGTCTGAGTGTAGCTTCATATCGCTCAATTCATCTGAAACATTTCTTGCACAAAATGTGTTGTCTGACAGACACATTATTGTCTTCCACCCCGAAAAGCTGTGCAAATCTCTGTAATATATTTTCTTTTTCCAACTTTCCAGCCACTAAACTGTAAATCCTTTATTTACGTAAACTTGCGATGCACAAACTCTACATAAAGACGAATTCAAAGAGGGAACCTTTTTCACGGGAGTTGTTTTGACTCCTGCGAAAGCCATCTTGCGCGATCTGAACTGACAGCTGTGACAGGTACTGTAACAAAATCCAGATCTGCCATTTCATCCGCGTGCTTGTACATGTGATCACCGTAGGAAACCGCCGGTTTGATTGACAGATTAGAGTCAAGGTCCATCTAGCACAGTAAATCAAGGCGCTCTGTGCCAGAGGTTTTCGCTGCTCGTTTCTTCAGCCTTCGGCCAAAGACATGTCGGCCTGTGGCCGACACCTGACGAAAGCTCCTCGTTGCACGCGAGAAAAAACCTGTGGTACCCAGGGTATTTAGAACCATGCTGGGTTTTTTAGCTGACGCAGCCATCCATTCAGATGCACAGAAGATTACTTTGCCCAAATATGGAATCAAAGAGTTAAAGACTAAAAACTTTGAGCTTGCAATGCTGATACATGTATGTCTACGATGGAAAGAAATCGTTTTGTGGCATATTAAAGATAAAGTAATTATGCTGCTATAAAATGCAACCCTTGGAAAACATATAGAGCCACAAAGTTATGTGGTATGGCTTGAAAACATAGACTAGTGATGAAGTAAGATAAGGATTTTTACATTCTTCATGATATTGCAAAAGCTACTAGCTGCAAACCTACCTACCTCGGCAAACCAGTTATTGGCAACTTCTGTTCTTATTCAGCAAAAGCAGCATGGTGACTGCAAACAAAGTGATATAGTAAGCTTTGCAGAAGCGTTGTGCAAGGCGCTGACAAAGGGGTAGTGGAATGTTTTTTGTGAATATAGATCTTGTAATTCATTCACAGCAGTACGTGAACACATGTATAGCAGTTTTGATTAGACGTGTGACATGTAAAATTTGTTTTCTTTTTGGGAATACAGAAAAGTTTTAAGCTGCGAAATTTACCTTCAAAGACTTTGACCTTGTTTCCTTCATGGTGGAGCAGTTGTCCTTCTCTGAAGTGTGACCAAGTCAGCAACTTTTGAATGAATTTTCAGGTAAACTTACATTTTACACTTTATGCTCAAGGGAAGTACGTTGTTGAAAGAAAATTTATGTATTTATAAATGTTTCATAGACGTTTTATATCTTTCTGGTAAAGTTTTCAAGAAATATTGGGAAATGCGCCCGATCTGAGACAGATAATTTCGGTGGCAATTTTTACCACTTGCTCAGCCGATTTTACTTGTGGGGGTGGATCCACAATCCATTCTGCATTACATGGATTGGTTTTAACGGTAAACTTATGAGTTTTCAAATAAAAATTTTCAAGACATAATGTGTCTGTTTATTGTTTTCTGTTTGTTCATTCATAAGATTAATTGAAAACATGATCGCTGGTCTTATTAAATTGCATTTCTTTCTTCGTAATACACGCATCACTTCTGCGAAGATGTCAGCGAATTTTATACAATTTTTACTTTCGAGTTCAGCAACCAGTGAAATTTTTTTGAAAATGTGTTACTAGTTATTCTAGAGAAATAGTAAGTGATTTGTAAGGTTATTTGCACTATTGGTCACGCAAAAAACGTTTGTGAAGCAACAACTTAACAAGTGATTCCTATTGAGCAGCCTACACACAGTATCCCAGTAGTCCATTATGGAAGTCATGCCTATACCTTGAGGAAGTTTAGCTGCATTGGTGGTACCCATTTCCCCTGACATGCTGTTGAAGGCGTTCTCCTGTCTTTGTCCAACGTGTTTCAAACAGAACTTGCACCTCGCCTTTTGCGTGATACTTTCTTGTTATCATAAAGGCAGGGTATAAGCATTCAGTCTTAGAAGATCCTTCTGATTTCATTGCTCTCTTCTCCCGTGTTATGGAGACAAACGTCCCAGTTCTAGGGCATTGCAACAATGATTTTGTGTGGTGCTTGGCCATTCTGTCAGGACTGTTTCACATACCAACTCTTTGTCATCCTTTCCTCTTCATTCTTCCATTTCTTAAATTCTGCCACGTCTTTAAATGTCTTGCATCTTCAGATTGTGACCAAGATCAGGGCAAGAAACTTTCTTTTCAATTCACTTGTCCCTTGGGACAAGTACAATGTGTATTTTGCTTGTCCGAACCACAAAACTACTTGTCCAAGAATAGACAACCACAAAAATACTAAAGGGTAATATATAAACTTCATATTTCATTTTAGCTCATAGAATTAAAACTAACAGAACTCCACAAATTGAAAAAACATATCTTTTGATACATTTGTTTTAGTCATTGTGTTTATTCAGGCAGTTCGGGAAGTGGCGGTAGAATTTCTTCTTCCTCTTCCTCTCCTTCTACTACAATTTCTGTTGCTCCACTAGCACTGTCATTTTTCCCCTTTGCAATGCTTGAATGTCCACTGCAAGATGCCGAAACAAAGTGCCTTTTCCTTTTACTGCTGAGAAACCAGTTGCTGATGGCTGGCTTTGGGTCAAAGGATTTGATATCTTCAGATGATGAACTGACAGTCATGAGATCCTGAAGAGTTCCTTGCTGCATAGTTGTCTTTAACAAAGTTAAAGTTAAAGTTAGTTGTCTTTTACATTTCTTCTCTTAATCAGAAAGAAGTACTGCAAAGTGCTGGACGAGTGTCTTCACATCATCATCTCCATAATGAAGTAGGTCTTCTCTAGTCATTGGCCAAAACCTGTGGTCAAACACTTTAAAACAGCTCACTGGTTCCGTTGTGAGCGACTCAAACCTTTTCTCAAGATAGGAGGATATGCCATTGAGGAGCTTCTGGAAGGAAAGCATAGGGTTGGTGCCTTTGTGTGTCAAAGTGAGCTCTTGTTTGTTATCTTTGCCGCACACCAGCTTGCCATTTTGCTCACTGTATCTGTTACACAATCCCTGGTAGTGTACTCCACCTTTCTCCAGTTTCTTTAATTCTGTAATGGATTTCTCAATTCCACAAACAACCTCATTGATGGTGATATCATCCTTCTGGAACTGAACTGACAACCTTGATAGGACTGATGTAACATCAATCATGAAATGTAAATACTTGACAAACTGCTCTGACTTCAGGACTTTGAGAATACCAGTTGCTTTAGCTGCATCTTCTTTCTTGCCAGTTCAGGCATTTTCTAGGTGTGCAACAGTAACAGCATAGTGTGTATGTAGAGCAACAAGGGCCCTGTTTCGACTAGCCAACCATCTAACTGTCTTAAGACCACCATAGTGTGCCTTTGCTTCATCTAAAATATCTGACAGAGAGGCTAACTCTCTTCTTTTCTTTGGAGAGTAATAATAATATTTGAAGACTGCCTGAACTGTTTCCTGAAATGTCTTTAAATATGGCACTTCTTTTACTGCGTCTAAGATGGCAAGTTCAAGGCAATGAGCAACACAGTGAATAGGCACAAGGTAATTGCCCACCCTTTTCTTCAGTTTTTGTGCCACACCAGATTTACTTCCTAACATAACCGATGCACCATCAAAGTTGCAGCCGACCATCTTTTTTTTCTGATCTTCAACACTGACCCCAACTCGTTCTAGGCCCTTGTCAATTGCTGCTAGCACACCTAGAAAAACAGTTTAAGAATAAGGTCTTAGAAGGGGACAAGTACTGTTGTTACAAGGAAACAAAGAAAAGGTTGTCATCCTCTGGAAAGAGAAAAACTTTGAATCGATTGCAAAACACCCAATGCTTTAAGCTTTAGTATTCTGTTTTAACCACTAACCTTTTGCATCACCACTTGTAGCATCGACTAAGTCAGCAAACTGAGTCTTTGGTGCTCCCCCTGGTCCAATGTATCTCACAAAAACAGACTCTTGCTCGATGATCCCGGAATCTGTGCTCCCATCTGCCAGGACTGAAAAGAACCTTGCTCTTTGCAGCTCGTTCCTAATTTCGTTTCGTTCAGTATCTGCTATGGCAGAAACAAAGGATTAGGATTAGGATTAGGATTTCTGTAATTAGGTCCCAGGTCAACCTGATTTTTTGCCTGAAGGTCACAAAGACTTGCATACTTTTGAAAGGCAAGATTTTTCTTCGCAATATAGTGGGCGGTATTAAACAGTTTTTCAAGCCTTGCTTGTGATTCCTGGCTAATTCGCGAGACAATTTTTTGCAATGGCCTATTTTCAGGTTTCTGGTCATTCAACCATCTTGTATGACAAACAACATGGCGGCGACTTTTTGAATGGGCTGTTAAAGTTTCTCTTCTGAATCCTTGAATTCCATCTCCACATCCAATGTACATTGGGCTGCTTTTGTCAGCTAATTCAGCATGCTTTCTACAAGTTGAGCAGTACATTTTGTTTGTTTCTTCTTGATAAACAACCCAATCGAACTCTTTCTGCCACACTGGTTGAAACTTTCTTATGCGCTTCGTTTCATACTTTTTCTTGTTATCTTCGCTTTTTTTCTTTTTGGAATGAACAACATTGCTAGTACCATCATCTGCATCATGTGTTTCCGGTGCTGACCTCTTTAAAAAGCTAGTAAGTGTCGACTGAGACAAAGACATGATGCTTGAAGAAAAGCGCTGAAACTCGCTGAAACGTGACTGACAAGCACGTGCGATATCGTGAGCCTGCTATTATGTTGTACAGCAGGACTCACATGGAATTTAATGGCGGCACCTCACGATGAAATCAAACACAAGGTAAACAAAATGATATTTTATTTTACTTTCTGTAAGAGCTACTTATTTTTTAGAGCACTTAGGTTATTAAGTACGGAAGGAATATTTTATTATATATCCAAAGAAAACAGGTAAGTATAGTTTCTTGACTTTTTTTAAGTTGGACCTCTACAACTCAGTCGTCCATTCGGACAACTGGGATCACGTTTTTCCTTGTCCGAACGGAAAAGTTACCCGTCCCAGACGTTCGGACGGCCCAAGTTTCCTGCCCTGAAGATGATTATTAAAGTGGTGTATTTAATCACTGGGTTAGAAAAAGCTGTTCGGGAGACACAAGGATAATAAAATCATTAGAACTTGTAACCAACAGGTTATGTGGAACTTCACAATTACTGAAATAGTTGAAAACATAAGAGCCTAAAATGGTCTAGAGTACATAATTATAGAACCTATAATTGCATTTATTTAATAATATTGTTTTGTAAGTTTTTCCATCGTTGCAAGCATGTTGCAAAGCGGTGCAAAGCAGCGCTTACTTTAACCACTTTTTTTTCTTCCAATCGATTTGGACTGTTATGTTGGTCATGACCGTGCTTCATTATGACTTATTCTTGCATTTTAAATCTCTCTGTAAGCGGTAATGTGAATTTGTCATTTTATCAGGATTTTTTATAATATTAGTACCGAAAGATGGAATGAGTAGGTTCATCTCATGTTGTTTGTTTTTCTTTGCACTCTGGACAACTAATATGTTTATGCATCTTTTCTATGCATCTTTTCCTGTATCGTTGTCAACACTGTTGATCGGCTTGTGTCTTTTTTTACGTTTATATAATCATTTCTTACCCCAAAAGTTCGTTTTGCAATGTTCGCACTGGAATCTGCTCATACCTTCACAGTTGGGAGGAGGGACTGAAACATCTGAATCAGTGGGAGAGGAATCAGACTCAATTGTTGCTTGAGAAAGTTGGTTGTATTGAAGCTGGAGCTGGAGGCCTGGTACTGGGGATGGCTGGCCATTAGAGACGCTTTTCTCAGAAGAATTCGCTTGTGGACAAGCTTCTGGATTATTGTTGTGTAGAGGACTAGTTAGATCTGGGCGATGAAAGGCTGAGGCTTTTTTACACTCAATAAGTGGTCAACTGAGGACCTTGGGACCTTTCAAGGTTTCCCAGAAGATGACTGGGACCTCTTTAACACAAGGGAACCACACGCGTCATTAGCCGAGGAAGAGGTCTTTTGTGGTGGCGATAATGTTTCTTCAGAAGATATTGGAAGGTTGGGAATTGGAGAGAAATCATTGGAAACCTGAGAGGAAATACTTCAGCAGGAGAAGAAGAGGAACATTCTTTAGCTGATGCATGTTCCTTTGTTGCTCTCAGAGTTGATGCACTGGACGACGACGTTTTAGGATTTAAGGATAGCTTGAGCTTTTTTTAGTGTTACTGGACATGTCTCGACGAAGGCTTAAGGAATGGTCAGACTGCACAGATGTTTCGCGTCAATCATGATGCAGAAGCATGTAATTGATTTCAATGCGACTTTCAGCAAACCAAGACATGACAACTTGTTATAGGTAGCTTTCTGTCTATTTTTGTGTATTAGTTTTAGATGATTCCAGAATTCTTGGCTTCCTGTGTGTTCACTAAGTTATCGATTTTTGATTTAAGGAGCTTTGTCTTTGATTTGATTAGCTTTTTGTACTTTTTGCGGGTTGTGTGATAGCGGAGCTCCACGCGCGTGCTTCGTGGGCGGAGCCCCATTGCTAAGTAAATCTACCCATCCCAGAAAATTTGGTAATCACGTGACCGTACACCGACCGCCAACCGACCGACCGTCCGTCCGTCCGTCCGTCCGCACCACAGGACAACCACTGTTTACTCTCACACTTTTAGCTAGTTTGGGAGCCCAAGAGAAAACTAATTGCACATCAATGTTGTGATCAATTGACAGCTATCAAAACAGGGCATCCGCTGACCAGTATCACCTGACCGTACCACGGGCTCAAGTGTCGACCCATCGACGTGGAATATTTTTTGAAGTTATCCGCTGACAAATTACCAGTTTTAAATGATCGCAGGCTCAAGTTTATTTTTTCCAAGGATTCATATCAAATTTGTTGTGTTTATGTCACTATGGCCCCGCACTATTAGGATGTTGATTTCAAACTGACCTTGGAAGCGAAAATTCATCCAGTTTTTTTAAAAGTTCTGGCGGGAAAGACCTTACCTTACCATGGTCTTGCGTTGGTCATGCTCTACGTCAAATTTTTATACTCTGATTGGTCAAAATTTGACAGGGGAGTTCATGCGGAAAAATTATGCATCATCTTGAAAGTAGTTTACTTTGACAGCTGAAGCTGACAGAGTTTTGTGCCAACCTGTGATGTTTTTAACTGTCTTTTTCCTCTGGATGTGCAAAATGAATTACAGCTGCTATCAAGAGTCTTCTGTTATTCATGGCTAGTTTGGTTACTGGGTTTTTGGTTGAGAAATGCGTCGCTTGTCAAAATTCGGTAATTCGATTTCGGATGGCATCGTTTTCGTTTTTCACCTTGCTTAATGCGTAAGAGGGTTTAAAAGTCTCAAGCAACTGTGGCCTTCCTTGATAGCTTTCAGGAACTGAATCTCGAATGGTAAGCCTAAGTAATTATTGTATTTGATGTTTGTTTTTGTTATATCTATTTTTCATGAAGTCTTGCACAGTTCACGCTGACAGTTTATGCGGCATGTTTATGCACGTTTGTAGGAATTGACTCAATGATCTGACCTAGTATCAGGTTTGATATAAGCTTACAGAACTTTAAAAAGCCTTCAGATATATTTGCTCATCACAAATAGAAAGAAAACTTTCCGAAGAATATTTAGTTGTAAATTTGGCTGTAGAAAGAAAACTTTGAGCGATTTTCTTGCTTTGAGGAGTTCACCTTGCAAAACAGTAAACACCGCGCCGGGAAGCCGGCTAAAACATAAACTTAAGCTTTACGCTTAAAGACTCAGGATTTTTAGAGACACTTTAATACTTGTCTTTGTGAATGAAAATTGTCTCTGTAAATGTTTCACGGAATTATATCTCTTTTTTGATTGTTAGTAGCCTCTCGTGCAATTTTAATCGTTTGTCTGTGCCGTTTGTTTTCATCGTTCATGACCATCGCTTGCAGGAGTACTCAAAAATGTGGCGCGTATCAAAACGCTTTATAAGATTACACATCGTTATAACTGAAACCATTAAATAACAAAACAAATAATAATAAATTCGCGATTATGTTGAAGCGTAACTCTGTTAAAGTTCATTCAAACACACGACCACACTGACAGCTCGCACTATAGAAACGAGAACCAGCTGGCCGTATGGGTGATTTTGGAAATTTTCTGAAATTTTTGAACGGTTTGGCTCGTGCTGAAAATTGACTGAGTGCAATTGGTCTTGAAAAATTGTGAAATACCGCATTCTGTCCGAGCTCTGTATGATAAATAGTACTGTTTCACCTCAAATGTGGTGTATAATAATTACAAAAGGTTGGTTTAAACACCCCCAGATTTGTTGGCAAGAATTTGTAAAGTAAACCTGCCAAACGCAAAAACATTTGGCTTGATTTGTTTTCCAAGAATTTGTTTTTGAGGCCTAATCTACTGTGATCTTGAATGTGCCCTTAAGTTAAATGATTTGTGGATTAAAAGTTTATTGTTTGATTTAAATTATAAATTTATTATTATTGGAGCTTCCCTTTTAGCCGTGGCTAAATGTATATATTAGTTATGCCTTATAGTTTCATCAAGGGGATTGTTATGTTTCTTGTTAGAGAGTTCGTTTAAAATCTTTTTCGAAGTGAAACATCCATTATTGAACCATCTCTCCAAGTTCGTTTCCATGAGAGATTGTAACTTTTTTCCAGGATTTTTTGTTGGCGTTTCATAGATTGGATTTTGTTCTTTGGTGTTGAGTTCTCGTGTCCCAGGGTGTCGTTGTGCGTGTCAAGGTCGATGACCCTAGATTTCAGAAGACCAATTTCCAGTTTAAAACATTTTCCAGTTTTGTCAGTTTTTCCTCCACGTGATCTACTTGGAGCTGTCATCCAGCTGTACTTATAAATTATTTTTCATTTTTGTGACGTTTGATTCCACGTTTGACACAACCAACTTGATTTTGTTGAGCGATGCTTTGCTTCTCGGTCAAAGTCCTGATTGAATCTAGTGATTTCCTCCTCTTTCAGTAAATAGGTTTTCGTGTTTCAGTGAATTTTGTTTATGGAATTCTGGATATCATGTTCTTCTGTAGGTGGGAGTGCTTACAATGATTTTGCGCTTGCTGTTTCTTGTTTGATCATGAGTAAAAAGTGCAAGGCCTCTTCCAGGTTTTTTTAATGATTCGTTCTGTTGGTGTTGGAAGGTGCTCATGGTCTGAGCTCTGGCGTCTGTTGGGTAAGTTGTTGAACACATCCTTTTTTAGAATAGGGAATTGCTTGTCGCTCCTGATGTGCCAGGCAGTTCCTTGGCACATTATTACTCCTGTAGTCAGGTAAACGGACATAGTAAAAAGTAGAGATTGGCTTTCCCCATTAACATGACTTACTTTAAGCTTGATATGTTCAAAAGCTTACTCATCATTGTTGTTGCGGTCGATTCATGCCACATGGTAGTGGTTGTTTTCACTGAGCGGTGAAAGTGATGATCTTGAAGAGCCTTTGCCCAATACAGGATTCTTCGGTGGTGTAGAAACCAACACAATGTGCTGATGGCGTGTACAACTTGGTGTTGATTTCTTCAAGCAGCAGCTTCTTCTGCTTGCCAGTTGTGCTTTTAAATTTTCAAATATTGTATTTCTTTTGAATTTGCTCCGTTATGGACTATCCGATGGCCGTACAAAGGCTGGTAAATAGGTCAGAGTGCTAAATATTCACGGAGCTATGCAGTCATGTACTGACTGTCATGACGCCATGATACAGAGGATGATCTCAGAGAACGGAACTCATTTGGCAAATTAGAGCAAATCTCATCTTCCCTTTTTCCTGGGTTTTCCTGGCATTGTCTTATTCGAGAACTTTCCTGGATTCTCTGAAAACCCTTCTCTGAAAGAACGGTTGTTTTGGTTAATACTCCATAACTAGGGTGGTGGACTATGCATTGAAATTCTGTCCTCATTTGTCTTCTTTTCTTTATTTTTTCCTTTGAAGTTCTAGTGGGTTTTTAGGCATATTCGTCATTTATGTTGGGTGGCCCCATTTGAGACCATCGCATGGTAAAACTTCATGAAAATTTCAACCCCATGAATCAAACGCAAGGAGTGGAGAGTGCGTTAACATTCATGCTTTGATAAATTATTTAGTGGACGGTTGTCAAAACATTTGCAATATTTAAATAAGAGCTAGTAGTCTGTTATCCACATAATAGTTGTAGCGAAGAATCCTGTGTCCCAAACATCCAGTGAAAACCCTGTAATTCTTTATGGGGAGGCAACACTGGGACCCAACGCCAAGCTGATTCAATATCAACAATCGAGTTAAAACAGTTTGGAGAAGAAAACAACACCTCTTTGTCAATTGAGTTCAAACGAAATGAAACCCAATCACCCTTGATGTGATTGTTTAATGATGAACCATACCGGCGAGTGCAATCAGTTATAGGGCGAAATTTGTGGGAATCCTTTTTAGCTACACGGCCAATAGAGTGAACACAATGGGGTTTAGAGTCAATCTTGGAAATACAGCGTAATTCCAGTTCCTTTAAGAATAAGTGATCGATGTCCGGTTTGAAGTCGGGACATGTAGCACTTGAATAATTTTCTAATTCGGAGTTGTTGAGACAAAAGGGGTCTGACTTGGGATTAAGTTTAAAACCATAACGCTAACCAACGAGAATTCTCAGTTTTCACCTTACGTCAGAAGCATCCATATTTACTTGGCGGCCATATTGGTGTACAGCTTGCTCATTAGCATATATCAAAATACAAAGCGATGTAGGGTTTTTTAACACCTGTCAACGAAAAATCAACGAATTCGTTAGAGAAAATCAAGTGACACTTATAGAGATGATTGCTAGTGTCATTCCTCTATTGTCAGAGTAGTTGAAAAATGGAGAATGTTTTGAAAGTCTACGTTAAATTGAGAAAGTTTCAGCTCATACCAGAACCAGCTGCATTGCGGGGTGAAGGATTATAGCAGCATGTCTGAAGATAATCCCGGGGAATCTAAAACAGAAAACTTTGAAAAAACAGACAGGGAAGATTCCACACTTGTTCCTCTTTCATTGGAGTACTCGAAAAAGCTAGAGAGCCGGGTAAAAATAAAAATAAAAATTGAGAAAATATCAGTGACTGGTATTTACCCAGCTACGTTGTGGCACATGAAGCTCGATCCAGACTGTTTACCACCCATCGAAGCCACAGATCTACTGTCGATTTGGTTTTAGATGCGAGTTATTATACAGCACAACAATTCAAAGCCTTCCAAAGTTTAGAGGCGTATAACCAGATGGTTTCTGGTTTTATTACCAGTGTAGAGGGGAAAGTTATCCCTGGAAAGTACGTGGTTCTTGCAAAAGGGCAAAATTCACAGCGCATGAATGACCTGCTGATCCCTGTTTGGGTGATTTCGAGCCAGGAAGGAACAATAATTTCGGCCCATTGCATGGGTTGTAAGGCTGGCTTAGCAGAAATGTGTTCCCACGTTGCAAGCGTGCTATTTTACATCGAAGCATGGACAAGGATCAGTGGAAAATTGGCCTGCACGCAAGTCAAATGCACGTGGCTTTTACCTTCGTATGTGAACGAAGTTACTTATGCTAGAGCTCGAGACGTCAATTTTAAATCATCGAAAAAATTAAGAGAAGAGATGGACCTCAAAATAGATGCTTGTGAGGGTGAGAATCAGTACCAACCACCAGCTCCAGCAAGAATTATTAAACATGATGAGGATGAAATGAATGCCCAGCTGAAGAAGTTAAATGAATTGAATGTAAAACCAGTCATTCTAAGTCTTTTTAAACCTTATTCTGAAAGCTTTATGTTAAGAAGCCAACCCGTACTTACAATGCCAGATTTGTATGACCCTAGGGATCTTAAACTAAGCTATCCAGATCTTCTGAAGCAATGTTTTGAGGTCAGCTTAGACCTGAATGATAATAAACTGGATACCATCGAAGAAGACACAAGGAAGCAATCCAAGGGGAATCTTTTCTTTAGACACAGAGCTGGCCGCATTGGGGCCTCAGTCAGTTGGACTGTGGCACACAGTAATCCAATGCTGCCATCACAATCACAATCATCACAATCTTTGATCAAGTCTCTCTGCTACCCTCACCTTCAAAGTTATCTCTAAAGCTATCTCACATGGCAAGAAATATGAGAAAACTGCTGTTGAGACATATGTTTCCCTTATGAGTCAGACCCATGAAGACTTTAAAGCAAAGTATTGTGGAATGATAGTAGATAAAGAACATCCCTGGTTGCATGCTACTCCTGACTTTATGGCCCTTTTGTTCCTGTTGTGGTGATGGTTGCGGGGAGGTCAAATGTCCTTATAGTACTAAGAATGGGAATTTTCAGACCTACATCTCAAAGGAGACCTCCTGTCTGGAAATGGTGAATGGTAAATTAAGGTTGAAGAGAAATCTTCAGTACTATTATTAGACCCAACAGCACTCAACATACCTGAGCTGATGTACTGTGACTTTGTAGTGTTTGCTTTCAATGTAAACAATCAACCTGTGATTTTTTACGAAAGAATATATCCTGATTACACCTTGTGGGAATCACTACAACCAACATTGACCACGTTTTGGAGAATTTGCATCCTACCAGAAATTTTAGGTAGGTGGTATACAAGAAAATGCCACATACCAAGTCTGGTGCAAGTTCTAGTATCATGCAATGGTAATGCCATTTGTTATTGCAGAAAAGTTACTGAAGAAGAAACCATCACTTGCTCTAATGGCAAGTGTCCCTATATGAAGTTTCACCTGTCATGTCTGCGATCAAGTGATCAAGTTCCAAAGATATGGTATTGTCCTACCTGTCGTCTATAACCAGAATTCAAGAGAAATGCTAAAACCAGAAATGCAGTACAGAAGGATGTATGTAGCAAAGCTCTCAGCCTGAATAGCATCTGTATTTGTAATTCAAAGCCAAGACCAGGTGATAGACTTCTTGAATGTCACAGTGAAGACTGTTTAAATGGAAAATTCTTTCATTTACACTGCCTGAAATACAAAAGGATGCCAAATAACAGCAAGACTACATGGGTTTGTAACAGCTGTAAGGGAAAGCCCCATAAAGCAAATGATGTGAACATTGCCACAGCTCAGTCAGGTGAAAACGACAGTTCTAGTTTAACTTCTTCAATTCAATCTGCCACTTGTACCTCTTCAATTCCACAAGTTCTTTGTGGTGATATTGATAGTAGTGTTGATGATCTATCTAACAGAGATAGTGATGATGACCTTTCTGTTGATCAATGTGACAGTGATGATGATATACAAATAACTTAAGTTAGTCATGGAAACATTGATAAGACAGCCTCTCTAGGGAATTTAATTCAGGCTGAATATGATATCATTGAATCTCCAACTGGATGGTTGGACTGCAGTGTCCTACAAGAAGCTCACATTTTACTGAAACAAGTAAATCCCCTGATCAAGGGATTTCAAAGGAATACCCTGGGACCAGCAAGAAACTTTGATGTAGTAACAAGTGAATTTGTGCAAATTCTGCACACAGGTAACCAACATTGGGTCTGCCTAGCTCTGTTTGTTGTTTACTGGGTATAGTAAACTTGTATGACAGCTTATTCCATGACATCATTGCTAATGAAGTGGAAGAACAACTGAAAGATCTCATGGAAAACAATTTTACGGGAATGAACATTGTACCTGTTCAGCAACAAGGAAATGGCAGTGATTGTGGTGTGTTCTCTATTGCATTTGCAACCTGTATAGACATGGTTTGAATAACCTGTTACAATTTCTTTTAATCAAAACAAAATACCATTTTATTTTATCCGATCAAACAAACAATGGTAGAAATTTTGTAGTGGAACTATTCTTGATATTTCTAAAGTGAAACTAATTTATGGCATTAAACTGAAAAAGCAGACAACGATTAGCAAGATAGTAGGTAAGGACGACATTGATAAAATGACATAAGTAACCAATATATATGTCTACTGAAATATTATGTTATTATATTATATTATTCCATTAAATAAAACTTGGTTCTACAAAATGAGAAGGAGCTTGTCATGTGGTCATTGATGCACCTTTTTGAAGTAGCTTCTCTTAAGCAAGGCTAGCGCTTATTCAAAGTTTCAGTCATTAAAATAAGGTCTACAAGTAACTAGTGGTCAACTAGATTCTCATGGGTTAACTATACTCACTCTAAAAACCGTTACAGAGTGAACCCATACTTGCTATCTTGAATTTTGATTTATAAAACTAGTGGTCCCTCTCAAGTCTACTCCTTATTTACAGTGTGGCCCTCTGGGTAGAGCTACCAACACTCATGGTCCATCTCAAACTGTAGAATGGGAACAATGCATCCCAGTTTTGAGAATTTTTTCCCCTTCTGAACATTTATTAACAAACCCCAAAATGGAATGCATTTCTAGAGTTTCACTGGTCGTCTATCTATGAATAATAAATTGTAACAGCCTACAAATGGTATTACTGGGGGACATAAATTAACAAGAGCAGAACAAACCTTAATTACGCGATCAATTACAGGGGTTCCTTCTTCAAAAGATCCATGAGGATTGCTCATGAGAAAATCAGTAGGAAGTGTCCCCTGTAGTTTTGTGTATTTGCTTCGTAAAAGACCTATGACTCTTTCCACATGGATGCGGACACTGGCAATACCCCTTGTTGTTTCAACGTCAACTGGGTCAAGTCGATCCTTGCCTTTCGTAAGACCTGCAATTACTAGCTTTGCTCCCTTGAAGGCAAACCTCTCATGAATAGTGAAGCCACGATCGGCCATCACCATGTACCCCGGAACCAACTTACTCAATATCCCACAGTTTTCAGTCAAAAACTTGTCTGAAGTTCGACCACCCCATGCCTCAGAAACATAGGAAATGGTACCTTGTGGTGTGATACCAATCAGCACCTTGATAGTGTTGTGGTGCTTGTAGGAACTAAGTGTTCATGCTTTAGCAAGTAAATTAGTGGGTTTTTCAATGAAAATTTCAAAGCAGTCAATTATTACAGTAGTTTTTGTGCCAAAGCTGAACTTGAAGCATTGTGGCATTGTTCTTATAAGACTTTCACGATCAGGCCAGTGGACAAATGGAGATAACCTTATGTCCATAGTCATCAACCAAGAATGAAATGTCCTGGATACTGTAGGAACTGAGATATTGAAGTGACAAGCTAGGTCTTGAAGAGGTACATCTAATCTCAACTTAATCAGGACCATAACGAATTCTTGGAAAGGACTCAGTGAATGAAAGCGACAAGAAACAGACGGTGACACGAGTTCAAACACAAAGTTCAGAATTTCATATGATGGGAGACCAGTGTAAAACAGTACTTTATCCTCACTATTCCTGAAATACTCTTTGTCAAATTTGATGACTTTCTTATTTGACGCAAATAAATAATCAAAGTCCTTTGTCTGTGAGTTTGCATCATAAAATTTACGGCGGAAAACGTCAGTCTGAGTACACATCTCGCCAAAGCTTTTGACTTCAGTGTGACAACTTTTCTCATTTTCAGCAATGTTTTGATCGGCAAAGGAAATATCAATTTCCTCTGTTTCTTGAGTTTCTTCTGTTAATAAACCCAAATCACTGCTTAAAGGTGTAAAGGATATATTGGATGCTTGAGTTCCTTCATCATTCAAGCGAAGTTTCTTCTCGATCTCTACTTTTGTTTCGTTTAACTTCCTCCGTCTAGCTTTAGCTCGCTCCACCCGATCCTGATCTGCTGTACTGCTATCCTTCTTTTTTTCTTTTTGAATGTCCCAGATTTAGGGTTGGCACCCAGTCAACATTGAACCTATCAATGTCTTTTGCTGGCTTACCTGGGACGAAATGACGGCTACAAACACAGTCATTTTTAAGGATTTGCTCCGTCAAGTGATCTCTGCTTACAGCCGCTATCCACTGCGTTTGACGCTCTATTGAACGCTCCTCGGCTTCCTTGCCATAATTAGTATCAATTGAAGGCACTCTAAAGAAAGAAACGTCTTTATCTCGCCCGCTTCTTGCGTGGCAATCCCCGAATAAGCGCAGAACCATCACGACTTACTTTGTAACATGAGCTTTACAGTGTTTGTTTGTACACCAACATGGCGGATAGCAACGGTTGTCAGGACTTTGGTCACGTGAGTGAAAACCGAGAATACTAGTTTTATCTGGGTCAGAAGTAAGTTCCTTCTCTCAAGCGTGGAAACGGAGTGGGCAATCCTCAAGCAGGGTCTGTTCCAGTTCCAAAAACGTTCATTTTTTTTCCTGTTGGGGAGCTGGCGGAACCTATACAGCTCTTGCCGTTCAGCTTGTTGGAGGAACAGAAGGGTGCTGTGCAACGGCAGCATCAAAATACTGAGTCCTCACATTGTGTAGGTTTGAACCCCAGCCGTAATTGTTCTGTGCGTTAGTGGCCCGGTAGTCGTGGTCAAAGGCTATGATGTCCTTCGTCTGGAATCAAGTTCCTTTGATCACCAAAAACTTTAAATAAGCGAGGCATTCTTCTGCCTCGCGCGGGTTCTTGGTGAATAGAGATTGGACTCAAAAATTTTAATATTTGCAAGCATAAATTGCGTATAAGAAAGCTGAAAGGGTTTCAGCTGTTTACCGTCACGGCCATAGATTAAATCTGAAGGCGACAATGGCTTACATTCCGGAGAAGAGCGCGAGTCTGTAGTAATGGAAGGAGAAGCAGCAGGGGTTTTGGGCCACCTCATTGTCCTTGAATGGCGAGGAGATTGAAAACGCCGCTTCAATGTCAAAAGCTCTTGTGAGTCAATGGTGGGGAGAAGACCAGAGGCCTCTGAAGGAACAGGTTTGGAGGGCAGGGGATCATCCGTGTCTTGCTAGAGGCGGGAAATTACAGGATGAAGGAGGATCTTTTGGCCTGCCACAAAACCCATGTCAGCCAAATCTTGTTCTGAAATGGCGGCTAAAAACGACTTTGAAGTTATATGGTTCTGAACCAATACGTCCATTACATCTTCTGGGATTTTGTTGGATCGACAAAATTTGGAGAGCAAACTGCTGTCACGGCTAGATGGCTTTCGAGATTTCTTGCTCGCTCGTTTAGGAGGCATAATGAGAATTACAATGAAATGAAAAACAAAATGTAAATGCCGCTTGACTAAGTTTGCTGGAATAACAAAGCCCGTGTGCTTATGCAAACACATGATGTGCCCAGTTAATGATTACTAACTCTAACTAGGTATTATACTGTTATTGGCTGACATTCAATACTGTAGAATATTTAAATAACAGCTACTACTTTAAATATTGGCAGCAAATTCTAATAGCCTTCATGTTCAACAGGACTATTAAAAAGCTACAGTAAAATAGTGTAATTAGCTACTGGCCAATTGGAACCTGCAAGTCATACCTATTCTGTTCACAACAATGCTAAAACGTGTTAAGATGTTCTTAACTGGCCGTGAAATCTCAAAAATTTAGCCCTTGAAAATAGCACAATATATTACGTTTTTTTGGAACCCTCTTCGAAAGGGGACCCCCCAATGGGTTTTGAACCCCCCCCCTGAGTATCACCCCTTCCCCTTTGGCATATCTCGTGCAAGACAAATAGTCGTAGTAGAAATGGAGTCCACACCATGTTTTTCAATTTCAAACAAGGTTTTATTACATTGCCTTAGAAATAACAGCAGTGGTGGCCCTAATAGCAAAAAACGGGAAGAAAACTAGGCAGCGGTGTGTCTGTTATAGCTCAAGTACTGCATGCGCCTAATGGTGAAAGTGCAGTGTTCAAAATGTGCAGACTACTTTTGGTTTCCTTTTGCCAACTGACGCAGGATCTTGTCCTGGTCAGAAATAAGCTTTTCAAGTCCTTTGTGGGGCTTGGCTTTGTTTTTCTTGTGCTCAGCGGTTTGAAGCTTCATGGTCCTGGGAGAAGTCCTCGTCTTCGTCGACAGGGCTGGGCTGATATCTGCTTGTTTGCCTTGCCCTCGGCATCGTCGTTGCTCTTGGCTAGGGCACTTATTCCACTTACTTCGAGGGTGGATGGACGTCTCCTTGAAGTGGTTGCTGTTGGCCTCTTGTTTGTCCTACCTCTGTCTGTAGACGGTAAGCCCACACGTCTTCGGGATATGGATGGTCCAGCAGAGGAGCCTTGGGTTGTTGGATCGGCATGGGCCAGGCTCCTTCTGGATCTGCTGGGCCGTGCTTGATGGCTGTCATCATCTTCCTCTTCCAAATACGCTGCTGTATCGCAGTCGTTGGTGGATCTTTTGATGGTGCGGCGCCTAATCAAGATGTTGTCGATGAGATACCGCATCATGTTTTTGAACGTTGGGCCCGCCTTGAATTTTTCGGAGGTGGCAGCTCGAACCATCCGCTCTGCAAAAGCATCCGGGTTGTGCATGAGGCAGTTGATGACGAGAACGTGGACTGCCATCATGAGAACGGGGCCGACGGCATTAAAGGCGTCCGTAAAGAGGTCTTCCACCCAGGGGTCAAAATTAATGGCTTTTAGGATTTGCAGAAGGTCCTTGGCATCCGGGGGATCGGTGTCCAGTTTGTCCTTGTTGTCCACTCGTCCAGTTTGTCCTTGTTGTCCACGCGCCACAGGTTGTCCACGAAGTCTTCTGTGAAGACTGTCCTCTATAAGCCATAATGTTCGTTCAGTTATCCTTTAAGGTGCTAGCCATTTCGGAGATAGCTATGTTAGGTTGTGAGAGCCACTTGCAATTCCAGTCGAAAAGACGACATATGATTTTGTCATCACTCAGCTTGGCTAACGCTTCCCCGTAGTTTAACATAAAACTACGGGGAAAGTGCTTGTTGTAATTCGGCTTTGGTGTAGAGCCATTGTTTCCACCAGAATGAGACATAACTGTAAAAAGAAGAATCGTTAGTGGTGGAAGGTGTGTCTGTGCAAAACAGAGACTTGGAGAGGGTTGGTCATCCTAAAAGGCTTTCACGGCCAAATTGGGGGATGTCACTCTGGAAGGGCAGTGTGGGGAAAGAGCAAAGACAAGACTTGGAGAAATGGTTATTGTGCAGTGCTTTGGATTCAGCCGTGGAACCCCGTTGTGAGGTATAGGCCCTTTTCGGGATGAGCACGGGTTACTGGGGACTCTCACCACGACGAGGTAGCACTATGGGAGAGTCGAAAGATGTGAGTTGATGAGTGGTTTAGAACAGACAGAAAGGGAGGTCCACAGGTGGCTCTCTTACGGCACTCCCCAAGGGTTGGTTACTTTAGCTCATGTTCTCCGACACAAGAGTGTACCTGTGGTACCTAGTGTTGTTGTTGTCTGTTGTAAGAAAAGAGATAGAGCGTTGGAATGGCAAAACGGAGCAGGATGGTCATTTACAAGTTAGGAAGAACTGCATGATGTCGAGAGAAAAAAAGACAGTTGTTGAAGAGAAGCGAGACTATTGTGAGACATTGGTCAAGATGGTGGCCTGTTCATAGCTGCACCGGCGTTAGTTGGTCTGCATAGATGGGCTGCAGCAAAGAGATGGCCGATTTTCTCCTTACTCTGGACAGGCCGACATAGGCAGTACCGGCTGGAACCAACACTGAGTCTAGCCAGATGATGAGATGGTGAATGTTTTGCCCTTGAGCCTTTATGATCGTCTGGGCATAGGCTGGCGTAAACGGGCAACGTGTGACTGGCCTGTCGTCCACCATGTGTGACTGGGTAGACGAAAACCTGTTGTCCTTCGGGCAGACGGAGGATGATGGTATTATTTTGGGAGGATACAATGGTGGCTTGTTGACCGTTGACGACACGGGCGGCCTTATCCCGGTTCTCCGTGAAGATGACGCGCATGTCCCTGTGCGGGTAGATTGGCTCAGAGTCCGCTGTGGAGGCGCAGGGAATGTTCGTGAGAGGGCGTCCCTGAAATTGTTGGCCGGCAACGATGGTGTTGATGCGTTGCGCTCCTTTGCGGGACACTGTCATAATGGTGCTGTTCAGATGGGTCTGGAAGGCTGTCTAGATTTGATGGTCGGTGAGCTGTCCTTCAGGGCAAAGAACAATGCCGTGCTGCATTTTGTCCACCTGCTCTAGGGTCGGGCGGATGAACGGTATGAGGTCCAGAAATGCAGCATATTCGGGATTGACGATTCGGAATTGTTGGTGTAACCGGTGAATGACTGCGTTAGAGGAAGAGAAGGTGGCGTTATCGTTGATGATGGAGGTGGTGGAGGTGATGTGGCCGTTGACGGTCTTCAATGGTTGTTGCTGACACCTTTACCTGCCAGGACCACAACGGGGCGAAGGTTCATGCGATTAAACGTGGAGGCCATTACTCCAAAGATGGGTGATGAGATCATCGACGCCTCATCGGCGACAATTAGGTCATACTGATTAATACGGTGGTTGATTTCATTTGGGTAAGGCCCGTCAATTGGGATGCTGAAAGCACCATGGGCCACCATTCGTTGGGCCAGCAAGGCTACAGGAGCGGCTACTAGGACGGACAGTTTGTGGCGAATGGCATGAGAAATGGCACGGATCAGTACTTGTGACTTGCCCGTGCAAGGCTTCCCCAAAAGAACGCGGTATTTTTGCCAGCAAAGTCCATATAGGCACGTCTGATGCTTCATGTCAAATGCATTTACTTAGCCTAGTTCCTTAGGCCTCTTTTTGTCAATGGTTGTTCTTTCTCCTTTTATATTTTACTCGATTGATAATATCAGGGATAGTGAACTTGCACAGAAGTTCCATCCCATGTATTTCGTTTTCAACGGCTATCTTAACAGCGGTTTGCAAAATGGCACTTCCATTCACCATACTCCGACATGCCCTCAGAAGAAAATTTGTCTTCTTCATCAAAAATGTTTCTAATGTCGAAGCTGGGATTAGATGGAGCTAGAACATCAGAGCTACATGAACTCATGGCAGATGAAAAAATAAGATTCTTTTTCTCTGAAAGAGTGTGTTTTTGTATGGGTGGTTCTGAAGAGGGTGTGTCATCTTCCTCTTCATGCTTGTTATTAGATTTGCGTTCAAAACGCCATTCACTTCTCACTCTGTCAGATGCGTTTTTCGAATCTGCTTCCTTGAGAACAGGATTATCTTTCATTTTATTTCCAAAAACTTCCATGGTAACACATTTTTTTTGTCAATTTCGTTAGCCATAAGTTCCTTTAGGGCTACCACCTCTTCTTCCTCCCAAGACAAATGCAGATTTTTTTTCTTTTAGGTTACTTCTTTTGATGACAGATGCAGGTGTTTTCTCATGTGCTGTCTTGATTTTGGGCAGGTTACTTTCTGCTTCTAGGCATGTCCCTTGTTTTTCTTTGTGTTCCATGAGATCGGGAAGCTGACTTTTCATTTCTTTATGGTTTTGATGAACGCTAGTGGCAGCAGATTTACGGAATATTGTTGAGAAAACGTGCCCCTCCATTCCTCCCTTTTTCCATGCTACATTTATGATGGTAGATAGCTGACCAGATTCTAATTTTGATCCAGTCCAAGACAGAAACACCTCGTTACCCATGTCAGTGTTATCTTCTCCATCTGATCTTGCCACTTAACTGCGCAGTTTGTCTACATAAACTATCAAATATGAGTATAGAGTTGTGACAAGACAACTTGGGCAGGGCCATGGGTATCTGTGGTCTTGTGCTTGCTTGCTCTCTTTACTCCTGAATTGGACGGTGTGGGTTGTGGTTGCCGAGAAACTGGCTACCAGACAGGAACTATACAAAACGTTATTTCAGAAATTTCCCAAACAGTTTCTATACCGATTTGAACAGATTTCTTCTAAAAACGTTAACAAAACGTTATTTCAGAAATTTCCCAAACAGTTTCTATACCGATTTGAACAGATTTCTTCTAAAAACGTTAACAAAACGTTATTTCAGAAATTTCCCAAACAGTTTCTATAACGATTGTTGCAGATTTCTTCTAAAAACGGTAACAAAATGTTGCTTCAGAAATTTCCCAAACACTTTTTTGTAAACTTCGATTGTTCCAGATTTCTCTCAAAGACAGTCAAAAGATACTGCTTGAGAAATTTCCGAAACAATCTTTACAATAAAGGATGTTCCAGATTTCTCCTAAAAACGGTCACAAAGTGTTGCTTCAGAAATTTCCAAAACAGTTTTTATATACTGATTGTTCCAGATTACCGTTTAAATAAGGATCACAAAATTTGTCTAACTGACTCTAGCGCATCCCCCAAATTAAAATAGTGCATGTACAAATTAATTTCCGTGTGTTAGATAACTGAGTAATTTTTAAGTCCTAAATAGATATAGCACATCAAAATTAAGTCAGATATGAATTAATATATATCCTCAAGGAAAAGTACAAAGAATTCCTGATTAAAGCAAAATTAATTAAAAGCAATAGCAAGCATCTGATGTAAGCGTGTTTTCACTAACGTTCAACCATTCAAAAAAATTAATCACTGCTTTCTGGCTTTTCATTAGAAGCAAAGTCCTCCTCTAAATTTCCATGAATTGCATGCAACTTCTCCACATTCTTATCAAACACTAAGCAGTGCTTCCCTTTCTTAAAGCTTGCAAGTGCGGCAGAACCTGGAATTGACATAACAAATTAATATGGTTTTTAGTCAGCTGTGGATGATACGATTGTTATTTGTACTCAGAAATCGAAGTTGGTTTCTTTTGCATTAGACTGCTACCAGTCTCCCAGGATTGTCACGCAGGTGAACATGTTTTTTGCGTAAACGTCTTGTTCCAAGCCCATAAGGCTTAACTCTTCCCTGTCTACTTTGTTCAGGAGCAGCTCCAGTTCGTCTTCATTCAAATTCCCCCTTAGACATTTAAATTTTGAGACCAGGCAGTCTATTGTTGTTTGTATGTTTGAATCCGATGATGACATCCTGTTCATGATTCTGGTAGTCACTTTTTGTCCGAGGATTTCTAGATTGCCATATTTTTCAAGAATGCTGTCCAACAGCACGTGACGTTTTTTCACTGAATGAACTTAGAAAAAAACACGATTTCAAGATGCTGCAAATACAAGATAACAAAAGTTTTATCAAGATTAGAAATTTTAGCCTAGATTCTCATCCTTTTGCTAACACATAAATCTTTGATATTTTGCTGAAATACTTAAATAAACCAATAGGTAATGGGCCTTTCGTGTCTGTTGGTCTTCATTATCATATATATTGCTGATTCAGCCATCTCAGAAACTCATAAGGGGTTGAAACGTGTAACTCTCATATGTTTGCTTTGTCCGATGCTCGTGATTATTCATTTTCGAAAGTACCATATTTGGAACGAGAAGAAACTTCGTAAACAACTTGACGTAATTTTACTTGAGGTTCCCGCGCCCACTTAAAAAAATGGCCAACAAAGGGGGGGGGGAAACTCCCAAAAGTCGAGAAAGCTTTCAAAGGTTGAAACCAGGAGTCGTACCCAAACACTGAGCAGGAATATATTATTGCCTTACCACCTGAGCCAAACGTAACATTATGAAACCCATTGACGTCCTCGCAACTTCTTGAAGTTGTCACTTCAAAAAATGATGCCTCGTTGACCCTCTGCATGCAAAGTAAACTTATACTGCAAATAGGTTTTTAAAATTCTTATATTAAAAGTCTAGA